TAAACGTCATCAACTTTTGGAACCCAAACAAAGCCAAGTTCGAAGAGAGACTTCGTTCCTCTTGACGAAGTCATCCGTTGGCCTCCCCTTCTCTTCTATCCACACAATGGTTGCGCAGACAACGCAAGTTGCAGACGTCGGTGTGCTGGCATGCGCAACACGTGGCCCGGCCATCGGAGCCTGGTGCGTAGTAAATGAATAAATAAGGCTTTTAATCTCAACAAGGCGAGGCACGCCTTTGAAGGGATCAGCACGTTAGAATAACAATGCGTGATCAAGAATGCGCGAAAATCAGATATGTTTGCCACAACAGTGTATGGTTGTGTAGGGGTGTATATACGTATGTAATTATGTGTGTATGCCCCATGTTGTGCCCCATGCTGAGGCTGATGTTGCATTCTTGATGCTTCTTCACCGCAGTTGGGCTAAACCAACTTACACTTAAACTAGGTCTTTTTAAGCTGGCTAAATTTCATTCCGCTTTATTTGGTTTGTTCTGCCTCCCTGAATAATGTTCTATTAACTGGCCACGTTGCTTACACTAATTGCGCTTATCTTCGGTAATTTTGTTGCGTTTGTAGCATTTTAAGTAACTTGTGGACATTTCTTACTTATCACGGATTTGTTGCTGACCAACTTACTTCATATGGTAATTTAGCGAAGAGTTATGCCACCGTATCTGTATGCATTATTGGATTTAGTTTATTTCAGCTTGTCGTTTAAATTGAATGGCTGTAGTTTGATATCCCTGGTATGGTTGCGCTTGATGTGTATGTTAACAAGGTGCCTACCTGTCTATTACCCACTACATCGTTCATACTGGCTCCAGGAGACAGTTGGTCGTTGCTGGAGGGGACGGGGTGCACGGTTCTTGTGGCCGTGCTAGGCTCAAAGAGCGGTTCCATGCACTCAGTGTGGAGCGGACTACGGTCCAGCCACCGCCTTGTGTGCGGTTGATTCCCCAAATACAGCGTGCTTGTGTTTGCCTGTGAAGGAGTGTGGGCCGGCTCCGTTGATGAAACGTGGTTCCCATCCGCATGCCTCCCGGTCTTATTCCTTCGGGTTTACACTGGATATGGGGTATGTGGTTGGAGCTGTGGGTGGTGCAGCGCAAGCCATCCATGGTCCCTCTGTAGGCGCAGGCGTCCTGTGGCTTGCCACAGTGACAGGCAAATCCGAAACCGGATGCCGCCAACCATGTATGTATGTGTGCCCCATGCTGAGGCTGATGTTGCATTCTTGATGCTTCTTCACCGCAGTTGGGCTAAACCAACTTACACTTAAACTAGGTCTTTCTAAGCTGGATAAATTTCATTCCGCTTTATTTGGTTTGTTCTGCCTCCCTGAATAATGTTCTATTAACTGGCCACGTTGCTTACACTAATTGCGCTTATCTTCGGTAATTTTGTTGCGTTTGTAGCATTTTAAGTAACTTGTGGACATTTCTTACTTATCACGGATTTGTTGCTGACCAACTTACTTCATATGGTAATTTAGCGAAGAGTTATGCCACCGTATCTGTATGCATTATTGGACATTCTTTGACGATGATCAGTTTCAATTCCTTCGGCCTGCAGCTGTAGAATGACATAGGTCCGTAACATTTCTTTGTAGGATGCTAACACGTGAAGCGTTAGTTCTGTTAATAAATCAATGTAACTGTCATAAAAGTCAAGGAACTAGACGTCACGATGTACCTTGCTGGATGGACAGACAGCACCACCGGCCCTTAGGCCACTGACGAAATCATTCTCCTCACTGATTGGTCGTGGTACTAGCAATGGATATGACGACGGTTAATGAAGCTACCCACAACCATCGCGTTTATTTCGCTGCGTTAGCAATGCAGAACGACCACCCTGTTCAACCATAGTCTCGTATCGTGCCCGTGGGCTAGCGCGTGATCCTTATGCGACGGTTTTGTGATTGTCAATCGAATGCTGTGGAAACGGCTCGTCGCTACAACGCTACCAACTGCACAATGAGGGTCGGTTAACACGCGGTACATGAATCGACTAGTTGAGAAATTTGACCAAACTGGGAGCGTGTGCGACGCAAAGCGAACCGGCAGGCCTCGTACGGCCACGGATGACGTATGCGCTTGCGCTGTTATTGATGAGGTAGCCCTAAATGGAGATGTAAGCATTCGGAGAATTGCGCAGCATTGTGACACCACACGATCTGTGCATCGTATATTGAAGGCACGGAAATTCCGTGCACTGCAGGTTCAAGTTCTGAAGCCATGCGATTGTGAGAACCGTATGAAATTTTCCCGGTGGTATCTGGATATCATGGACGTGCACGCAATCATGTTTACGGACGAGACACTTTTCCGTCGGCATTGCGCCGATGTTTATGCTAGCAATAACCCACAACAGTGCATCGCTTTGGATGTGCAACATGGTGCACAGCGAATGGCATGGGCTGGGTTGAGAGGGCGAAAAATTATCGGACCATTTTTCTTTTCCAAGAATGTGAATGGTAAGTTTATTTTTGTTAAATCTTCAGATTTCTTAGCATCCTCGTAAAAAATGTTGCAGTTCAGCGTCATTCCACAGCTGCAGACCGAAGGCTTATTGAGTACTGTTTAGTGGCAACAGAATGGTGCGCCTGCTCATTCTGCACACGCGGTACGTGATTGCCATAATAAAACTTCCCGTAATCGCCGGATCGGTCGTACAGGACCTACTCAATGGCCTTCAAGGTCTCCTGATTTGAACCCCCTGGATTTCTTCCTATATGGGTACTTGAGACGCCGAGTGTATAAAAACAGGCCAGCCTGTCTGGAGGAACCAAAACGGAACATCGTAAACGGGTGCCGCGGTACATCGGTGGGCACTTTGCAGAAAGTGCTAGCCAAAAGCATCAAGCGAGTACTGCTCTGCAAGCAAAACGGCGGTGGTCATTTTGAACGTCTACTTCGTTGACATTTATGACGGGTAAGTTGATTTATTAACAGAACTAACGCTTCACGTGTTAGCATCCTACAAAGAAATGTTACGGACCTATGTCATTCTACAGCTGCAGGCCGAAGGAATTGAAACTGATCATCGTCAAAGAATGTCGCGGGATGTCGGTGGACACTTTACAGAAAGCGCTAGCCAATAGCATCGGGCGAATACCGCTCCGCAAACGAAACGACGGCGGTCATTTTGAACATGTACTTCATTGATTTTTATACTCTTGAAACATACTTCATGTAAATGTATGTATGATGCATAACGATTGATTTCACTAGCACATTGTTGTGATGGGTAAATGATCCGAATACTTCGTCGGGGTTGAATGAAAGCTAAGAAAAATAGAACAAGATGGGTGCGTGAGAAAATGCGCGATCGCTCAACTGTCCGGTAGGGTGCAGCCGTCGCTGTTGATGATTACTGTAGAGTTGACGGGGGGTGGACGAAACCGCTGAAACTCAGTAGACTGCGTTATACGCTTCTTGCAAGTCCAGGTCACATACTTCCGTTGCCCATATGAAGCTAACCTCGTGTTTGCCAAGTAACTCAATTATGATTACCGCCATTCCTCTGTCTATCATGGTTCTCCAATGGTAAGGGAACTGTCGCTGGTAAACTACGTAGGCGTTACAATATAGAGATGCTTTCACCACCGATTATCGTTGATTACTTCGGCACATCGCTTCAGCCGTTATAGGTTCAATATGGCGCACCTACCCATTATGCACAAACGGTGCGGCAGTATCATAAGGAGTTGTTCGGTCACTGGTGGATCGGTTGCAATGGTCCAAAGGATGGGCCTGCCCGGTCACAAGATTTGAACCGATTACATTTCTTCCTATGGAATTATTTGAAAAGAAAGCTTACAAGAAAATGCCTATTTCATTGGAACAAATGAAAGGCAGTATTGTCAACGAATGTCGCGCAATCAGCACGGAAACTTTGCTGAAAGTGGTAGCTTATTGCCTCAGGCGATTTCCGAAATGCAAGTAGAATGCTGGTGGGCGTGTTGAACATCTTCGTCATTGACGGACATATCACCATTTAAGCTGTTTATATTAATATATGTATTCACCGTTATCGTGCCCCATGCTGAGGCTGATGTTGCATTCTTGATGTTTCTTCACCGCAGTTGGGCTAAACCAACTTACACTTAAACTAGGTCTTTCTAAGCTGGATAAATTTCATTCCGCTTTATTTGGTTTGTTCTGCCTCCCTGAATAATGTTCTATTAACTGGCCACGTTGCTTACACTAATTGCGCTTATCTTCGGTAATTTTGTTGCGTTTGTAGCATTTTAAGTAACTTGTGGACATTTCTTACTTATCACGGATTTGTTGCTGACCAACTTACTTCATATGGTAATTTAGCGAAGAGTTGTCACCGTATCTCTATGCACTACTCAGTTTATTTTATTTGACCTTATCGTCTTGAGTGATTGGCTGTTATTTGACATCCCCGGTGTGGCTGCGCTTGATGTGCATGTTGACAAGGTGCCTACCTGTCCATTACCCACTAACTTGTCTATACTGGCTCCAGGAGACAGTTGGTCATTGCTGGAGGAGACGGGTTGCACGGTCCTTTTGGCCATGTTAGACTCGAAGAGTGGTTCCGTGCACTGAGTGCAGAGTGGACCACGGTCCAACCACCGCCTTGTGTGCGGTTGATTCCCCAAATACAGCGTGCTTGTGTTTGCCTGTGAAGGAGTGTGGGCCGGCTCCGTTGATGAAACGTGGTTCCCATCCGCATGCCTCCCGGTCTTATTCCTTCGGGTTTACACTGGATATGGGGTATGTGGTTGGAGCTGTGGGTGGTGCAGCGCAAGCCATCCATGGTCCCTCTGTAGGCGCAGGCGTCCTGTGGCTTGCCACAGTGACAGGCAAATCCGAAACCGGATGCCGCCGACCATATATATATATATATAAAATTGGTAAAGTGCCACAATGTATGGGCAATAATACAACGATAACAACAGAATAAGGTGTTAAGTGTTGAACTATAGTAATGGGGGTAGACTCCCACATGTTCGTCATTACTCACAGTTACTTGGCAAGTCTGATAGCGTTCACAGCGATGTGTGCTCGTGATCCCTGCGTCACAAACCAGGGAGTCCAGAGCGACCGACCGCGGCCAAATGTGAGATCAGCGCGTTCATACTTTTGGCCTGTCATGCCATCGAGCAAGTTGAATAGATGGTCAGCTTCTATGTTACCTCTTTGTTCACGAATATACCTGAGAAAGGGGCATTACGATTAGCGAGAAGCTGCTTGATAGGATACATCAGCTTAAGCGACAAAACAAAGCTTACAGTGGATCAACTGGTCGAGGAGATAGGTCTGTGCTTTGACATGACTTATTTCACATTTTAATCGGGAATTTACACTCAAGTACAGGGTCTGGACATGGGATCTCCAATATCCCGTGGTGGCGCTACGTGGACGACACTTTTGCGATTATGAAAAAGGATAGCAAAGATGAAATTAGCTATAGTCCAGACCACCCGAAGCATGTTTATGCGGGAATCGCCTCATCACTATTTCACAGAGCGAGTCCTCTGTGCAGAGGGAGGCGACGAAAAACGTAATAGCTAGCGGATATCCGAAGCGATTGGTGAAAAGACAGCTACTAAAATGTCTTAACCCAAACGCAAGGCTAACCACAGATTGGATAGCGACAGTGGGTATTCCGCATAAAGAAGGAACTTCGGAAGCGATCCGATGAGTACTGAATAAAAAGAACATGAGGGTAGTTTTCCAAAAGGGTAAAACGCTACAGTCGATGGTTTTGCATTTGAAGGACTCTCTTCTCTTAGAGAGAACAACTGCATTTACAAAATCTCATGTTAAGATTTTGCGCAAGTGTATATAGGCCAAACGGCGAGAGAACTACGCACAAGAATCTCAGAACATAGGCAACAAATATCACGTACTCCGAGGAATGAGCTGGAGTATAGATCTCTGCTCAGAGACTCGGTGGTAGCAATGCATGCGCTAGATACAGGTCACAAAAGTGACTTCAAAAATGTCCAGGTTATCAGGAAGGGATTGCGATCAGCCCAACAAAGGCTAATTGCGGAGGCTATAGAGATAAGCAAGATCGACAACTGCGTGAATAGAATAGACGGAGTACGGCTGTCTAGTGCGTGACATTCAGTCTTATTCCGGCCATTTCGATGAGCGTCGACGGATGGATCCGAAGTCAGAATGGGCATTCGACAAGTTCCTTCCAACAGACTACTAAGGTTGTCGATCATGCCTGTAAGTACTCTCTGATGACCAATTTTTTCCCAGTTGACCTCAACTGAGAGCCACGGATTTCACGCAAACCTAGTGACCTTTGATCGCTGCAACGTTTTACCAATGAACTGAACGCTTAACGGCCTCTGCATGCAGTTTACCCCTGAATTTAATAAAATGCCACTCACTTCTAAGCTAATTCACTTCGCCAGATGAGGCAATTGAGTCACAAGCGAAACGTTGTACGGTACAAGAACTACACCAACCGGTCGTTTGCCAAACCTTTCGAAGCGTTGACTTCGCAATCGGTTCCAAATATTCCCAGTCTCTGAACATGCTTTGCACGAACAGGTCTTCTCAGAACCGCAGAGCGAGACAATTTTCAGCGTGGTACTGTAGACTCGGTCGTTTAAGATTAGACTCAGGTCGCGTCGACACCAGATATTAGCACACGCAATCCGGGCCTTAGAGACGCGCAAATAGAACTAATGCGTTAGCGTTGACGCAGGTTCTGAGGTAAACGAGCTTGTCTATCACTTCCAGAGCATGACGTGAAAGAGTGGGATCAGATCCTAACCAGTCCTGTACAAAGACATTAAACTTCGAATGGGCGAAGGTCACTTCAAACTGGGTGGCAGACTCCGCCAACTTGCACAGCAGATTTTGGCAGACTGTGAGGAGTCGCAAATTACGGCGATATCGTCTGCATACATCAAATACCGAAGTCGGTCGCAAGGAAGCGACCCAGCGCCGCTGGGTCCGCAGTTCTCCAAAATGCTCTCCAGGATATCGTCTATAGCCAAATTGAACAGGAAGGGAATGTGCTGGGTAGCCCTGTCTCATGCTACTGGTGATACCAAAGTGGGCAAAAGTTCGCCGTACACCCGCACTCGGCCGGAGGTTCAATGGTAGATGACTCGAAGAATGTTGACGTACTTCTCAAGCACTACCCCTTCATAAAATGCAGCTCCAGAGAACAGCTCGGTCAACTGAGTCAAACACAACTCGTAAGTCTAAGAAGACAACGATCAAATGTTTGACGACGCTTGAGTATTTAGAGAAGAGTGAGGATGTGATCGATACTATTCCGGCCAAAGCTGAACCTAGCTTGCTCTTCGCGTGTTCTGTTCGCGTACCAACCTGAACCTCCTTAAAAGCCAGACGGTGAACACTTTAAATGCAATTTAGATGAGACTAATCCTTTTTGGTTAGCACAGTTTGACCGGGCACCCTTTCTGAAGACGGGCACGATGTCCGCTAGACTCCAATCAGAGGAGATTGCTTCGGTGGCACAAACCTCTAGGAGGGAAGTTAGCTCCCGAACAACTGATGAACCTCCACCTTTGAAAAGAGCAGGAGTTCGTCCGGGTCAAGGGCTTTGTAGCGCTGTAGGAGGCGAAGCTTATGGGCAACCTCAGCCTCAGGTGTTGAAGCGTCTACACACCAGTGAACAATATGAATTCCCGAATGAGGAGTCACAGGTGCTGCAGTCCAGTTGAATTGCTGCTCAAAGTGTTCAGCCCAACGCACAATTCGACATTGTTGGTAGTGGATTCGCCCACAATTTGTTTCGCACAAAACTTCGCTTACAGTCGGTTTTTGCCACCAGTTGATCAGATCAGGTGGAAAAGTTTTCGGAAATCCCCTGAGCTGGCTGCCTGCTTCATATCGACAATCCGTTCGGTCCACCAGGATCTGTTTGAGTTCAGCGTTAGTGGTCCTGCGTAGTGAATGATACACAACACCAGCTGGAATTTCCAGACGAGATTCGAGAAGTTGGTGGGACCGTGCAGAGATCCAGTGGTTGACATGACTACTGGTGAAACCACAGACCAGGGTCGCAGAGTTGTGCATGGCGCTGCGGATGTGTGCCCAGTGCGTTTCAACGTCAGAGCATGAGGCGCTCTTGAGATTTGAGGCCAACGTATCCTGAAACGCACTGAGAACGCTTGGCTACGTCAAACCGTGTCCGGCGACGCCGTTGGGAACCAACAAAACGTAAAGCAATCTTGGCACACACAAACGCGTGGTTCGAAGTGAGGTACGTACTCCAGGTTGGTTTGCAACCCTGTATACAGCCCCGTCAGCGATAATTGATGGCGATGTGGTCAATCTGTGTCCATGGTTGGCCAGGAAACGGAGACGTCCAGGTCGTGCGTTGCCACCAGGATCGTCGAAAGCTGGTACTCGGAAGGCCGTGATCGGCGCAGAGCTGTAGTAGGTGATCACCAGTGTCTGTTCTGTGAGTGCCATGGTCATGTTGACCAACGAGTGCATGCCCTTCAACATCAATTCTACTGACCTGAGCGTTTAAGTCCCCTACAAGCATCACAATGTCTGTATTGCGCTTCTGTTCGGTGAAGGTCAGAGAGTTAATAGTAGAACTCATCTTTAACTGACTCTGGGCTGTAGTCTGTGGGAGCGTAAGCAACCACAACGAACAACAACGCCCGCTAGTCCCGTAACTGGAAAGTCGCACTGAGGTGTCAAGTCGGATCGCCAGTCCAATGTTGACAGGGATTCCGTCTAGCAGCGCATGTGCTCAACGCAATCCCCACGTCGGCAAGACTAGCGGTTTCGGCAACTGTCTCCAGATAAGCGCAAAGTAAAAATGTCAGCAGAATTCGCAGGCGGTGAAACCAGTCGTAGCGTCATGCTAGAGTCCTGCAATGGGGTCTCATTGAGGCTGCAAACATCAGTGACAGTAGTCTCAAGCGTGCGAGCAAGGGCTACTTGTGATCCGATCTGCTACAACGTCCGGATGTCAAAGGTTGCTAGCTTGAATTGGGAAGGGGACGCTAGAAAACGCTTACCAGCACTATTGACGGCCCACCCTCGGACCTAAATTCCTGATCTGTATGGCGAGAATACTCACCCAAGACCTCGGTTCACATGTGGTGGACCTCGGACATTCCGATCACAAGGATCGAATGTGAATGGAAATATTTTGGTGTTGCTCATCCCAACACTGGCACCCCACGACCGCGGTTTCGTCCTGGTTTGGACTCATCAGGTGGAGATAGCCTGAGTTGGGGTGGAAATCAGAGCCTAGTGGTTCATGGCTGACGCCATAAACACTATGCCACTGAGATCCGCGTGCAACTCTTGGTACCGAGGTCCCAATAGAGATTGCTTGTAGCAACCCAACTACACAGCGGGTTCTCCAAGTCCAACTTTGAATCCATTTCCGCTGTACCAAGCGTTGCTCACGGATCTCAGTGGCATAGTGTTTATGGCGTCAGCCGTGAACCACTAGGCTCTGATTTCCACCCCAACTCAGGCTATCTCCACCTGATGAGTCCAAACCAGGACGAAACCGCGGTCGTGGGGTGCCAGTGTTGGGATGAGCAACATCAAAATATTTCCATTCACATTCGATCCTTGTGATCGGAATGACCGAGGTCCACCACAAGTGAACCGAGGTCTCAATAGAGGTTGCTTGTAGCAACCCAACTACACAGCAGGTTCTCTAAGTCCAACTTTGAACCGAAGTGCTGCTTCACTGGCTGGGCTACGAAGCTGACAGGGTCGCCAAATATGTAATATGAGTCCGGTCGAGGGTTCCGAGGGCTTCTGTGTCCGTGGCGTACGTAAGTCGTAGCAGACCGAAGGGGCTGAAAGGTAAGGAAGATACTTCGTACGCGGCTGGAAAACCACCTAGCAAGTGTCGGAGCTGGATGGATGGTGCGCTTACGTCACATCTCGTGGCTAGCTGGGCGGTACTGTCACACCTGCCGACAGAGGACCGAGCGCGGCTGCCCAGTTTCATAGTTTCGTAGTATTGTAGACAGCAGAAGGGAAAACACCCGTGTCAGCTCCTTTACCTCCCATTCACTGGCTGGAAGAGGCGTGTTCTTGTTAACCTGTGTTCACTAAGGGATTAGCACAGCTGTAGAGAAAACAGTGGAATCCAGGCGTTCTCAGCATGTAGTTATCCAACCGCTGCTTGAAACATTCCTCTGAATGGCGACTGACAACATATTCCAGGAGATTGTTCTATTGATTCACGACCCTGGTAGATATCGTGACGTCGGAGGGAACGCGGAACCTCCGCGGTTTAAACAGCTTACAACTGTAACCCCGTGTCGAGCTATCTACATTGAGTTGGAAGAACTCTTCACCTCCGTCCCCAAGTCTCCTTTTAGGATGCGCCTTGTGTATATCAGAGCCCCGGGGCGACGACTATAGTCCAAAGAGAACAAGTTCATTCGCTGAAGTCGAAAAGGATAAGACAAATCATGAAGCACTGATACAGACTTGGATCCACGCCGCTGAACCTTCTCCATTAAAGGGCACACAAACTTTGTGAGAGGATGCAAAGTGAGTAGTCCATATTTCAATACCGGACGACCGTGAGAAGGAAACAGGAGCTTGAAGATCTCAGGCGTCATCTTTGAAAATGACCTCCGTATGGCGCAGAGTACCCTGTTGGCGGAG